ATATGGAAAATTTTTATATGCACTGGTGTGTCTGGGCCTGAAGAAACATTAGAGGGTGTCTTAATCTCAAAGGGACATCCAGACAAAGTGCATTAATATCATTAAAATCTAGTTAAGGATGAAGAAACTGCAACCAGAAGCAAGGAAGAGTGAGCAGTGGGCTTATCAGTGAAAGCTGCACTGTCCTCTAGTCTCTGTACCTCCTGGCAAGTCCACCTAAACAGCATTTTTGATAAAATATGCTAAAACACCTGGTTGCCACTAATTACTGAGTAGAAGCACATTTTATATTTCATCTCCTTGGTCTTCTCTTTCAATCTCCTTATGCTCACCTTTACCAGTGTTCTGCTTTGATAAACACACTTGCCTTTTGTCTTACTAGAAACCCCTGCTCCTGCAGAGGAGCTGGGTGAAACACAGGGACACCAGTAGCTGGGAAACCCCAGCATCCATGCCGAAGGAACTGGCTGAAACTGCTGCCCAGGAAGGCTCGGGTCTCCTCCCAGGCAGCCACAAGCCCCAGGGCTTCCCAGAGAGCTCTTCAGAGTTTATGTCCTTCAGAGTTCATTTATATAAAGATGCATTCTGCCAAGGAATGCAAAGTAGTGCTTTGCTTCATTTGCCACAGCTTTTATGGTGAGCAAATTCTCCTGGTTGCCCGTGTCTCCTTCCAGCCCACTGCACACACACACACACAGTCACGATGGAGAGAGGCTGCCTGGGAAACCGCAACACTTTGAACCAAATGCAAAAGCTCATTAAGATCTCAAAGTATTTGTTTCATCGACCCATCTCCAACCTGCAAGTCCCCAGCATTCTGGCAGCAGAGGGCTTTTCTGGGCTGAGATGCCCTGCTCTATCAGGCAACCTGCTGCCTGGAGAAGCTTTATCAGTTTGTCTGCACTAAACTTCTTTTTGTTTTTTTATCCCCCAAGTCCTGCAGGAGCCTGAAGACACCAATATACCCAACACAACAGCAGAGTGTCTGCAGTAACACTCCTGGCCCACCTACTGATGGAGGCAAAAAGGTAGTGCTGTGGTCAGGAACAGAGATACAAAATTAATGTTGCATTCTGTTGTAAATTTTGCAGGTGTGGCAGATTATTACCGAATTCATTTGCCTGAAACCTCCAGGTCTGCATTCCCTCGGCTGAGTCTCCAAAGTCCCATTTCAGGTCAAGCTATTGAAAACAGACCATGTAATCCCTAAGACCCCAGACCCTGATACTGTTATTGATCTGAGCTGTTGTGTGAGGGATGGGGAACTCAGGTTGTAATGCTGTAATTACTCATGAATTTCTTTGTTCGAGGTCCCTCCCCAGCAGCACCCAGCTCAAGTTGTTTCCATTGCAGTACCACTTAAACAAACTACCTTAATCAACTTAAAGCCCAAGACTCTGCTACGAGGTACCTGTGCTGGAGAAGCCTCTTTAACAAACACAGCGTATTTATACAGCCTAGGCAAACGGGAAGCATTACAGATACTTTAAAATAGACAGGTGAAGGCAGAGTTAATTCAAACTGGACTTGGGCATGGACTTCAAGAGCAAAAGGTGTTCCTTAATAACTCCCTGTGCAGACATTTTCATTTCGGAACAAGAGAGCTTGAACCATGGATTAACAAATGTACAGCAAAGTACTTAATACTGCCCATGCATGGAGTTATCTGGGGACAACTACTCCTGAATAACACCATGAGTATACAAATGCTAAGCTAGGCAGACAGCTAAGCTCCTTTCTTTTCATTGCAATTTTCCCCGTATTAACCAGGAGGCATATTCCAGCCAGGCAGAGCCTGTGCCAGTAACAGCCCCGCATGACCATCACATGAATGCCTGACACTCTCCAGGAGCTGGAGGGGAGTGAGCAGAGCTCATCAGGAAAAGGATGGAGTGGAGATAACAGGATAAGAAAGGAGCAGAGGCACTGGACTCAAACTGAAATGCATCTTAAAATCTGAAAGTATTTTTGCTGTGAGAGTGACCAAGCACTGCACAGGTTGCCTAGAGAGGTTGTGGATTCTCTATCCTTAGAGATATTTAAAAACTGTCTAGACACAGTCCTAGACAGCTGGCTCTGGGCAACCCTGCTTGAGCAGGGTTTAGGAGAAGGTGACTTCCAGGGTTGCATTCTAAGCTCAGCCAGCCTGGCAGGAGGACAAGACAGGAGCAGGGAAGGGAAACTGCTGTTGAGGGTTCTCAGCCCAGCTGCTCCCATGAATACAGGAGACCAGTACACCTTCCATGTGTCTCAGGCTCCAGACACAGCATAAGGGTCCTCAATCACATCTTAAATAAGTGCATCAGGAAGGCACTCAGGAACTGAACTGCTTGAACCACAGGTAAAAGACCTTTGTCTTCTGCCTTCTTTAGGGTGATTCAAACCATAAGAATTCATAAGTCTGATATGTGTTATGGCAAAACAAGTTAAAATGGAGAGGCTGTTAAAAATAATGAAAGAAAACTGATTGACTCTGAGCACTTCCCTGAGGCTCTGCCCACAGCTGGCACAGCACCTCCACTGCACACAGCAAGCTCACATAAAGCTGCCCAAGGAATGTGGGACTTGCACACTAGGAGGTTTAATTGTTTCCTCCAAGGTAGCACAGACAGGTGGTCTGTACCAAGGTAGCAAGATGTTTGCAGAACATCCTGCAAACCCCACTCCTTCACACCTGCTGACAGGAAATAAGCAAAGCTTTTAGTTTCTAATGGAGGTGACCCCTGCTTTGGGATAGGAAGGGGGCTGTCATGGACATTGCCCATGGCTGTTATAGCTAGTAGCATTCTCAGAGTACCACACACCCCTGAACTGGCACATCATTTGCAGCTTTTACTACACTTCTGTAATTCTACAGGGTGCCCTCCTAAGCTTACACATAAATCCCTTCTTCACCCATCCTTCTAACAATTCACTTCACTGGAAATAGGTCCAAAAGACAAAGAAACACAGTCTTTACTAGGCTAAATTTCTACTGTAATTTTTCTAATTAATACATAAAACGCTTTTCCCAGGGACACAGCCACAAGCTCACCTCCTTTTCAGTACAGGTACCCTTGAGCTGCCATTCGTCTACATTATCATTTTATAAATAGTGGAGAGAAAAGAAGTTAAAAGGGTCCCAGAGAGTAGAAAGTATGCTGAGTCTGCAGCAGCAGCAGGGGGTGTAGTGAAGAAATCATTCTTTGGATTCTTGTCGATAAGAGCTGAGACAGAATTAACCACAAACCAGAATCATTGCAGCAGCCCAAGCCCCCGGCTTTCCCTTCCTCCTCCTTCCACAGGGTTTTCACCTGTTTATGCAAGAATTCCCCTTCAGAGAGCAGACTCACCACAAAGCTGGAGTTATCTAGCCTGTTGAGATCTTTGTCTGAAGAGGGGGTCATGCCTTCCATTTGCCTTCACTGACTGCCTCGAAAAAGAATCAGTCAGAAGAGGAAAGCCTCCCAAATTCCCGCTCCTTCCAGTCAAAACAGCCCTAAAGAAATGGGGTGAGAAGATGCAGATGCCGGATTTCAGGAGCCAAACAGTGCTCAGTCCTAGCTATTCATGTGAGCTGTATTGCAGGAGCGTTTCCTTTTCTTTAGCTTATATAAGTGACTCCTTTTCTCCAGTTGATTAGAGGACCGGCATTCAAATCAAACTGGAAAGCAGACTTTCCCTGGAATGAATCAGTAACTGATGACAGAAAAAACTTCCTCTATAGGTAAGGATGGTGGTGGATATCAGAGCCTCCACACAGCCTTGGAACTTGTGTGGAGTAATTTAAACTGTGTGGAGCAATTCCACACAGCCTTGGAATTTGTTCCTTCATTACTGTTTCAACAGGAACTTGCATTTTTTGTGTGGGTTGTGTGGGTTGTTTGAAGATCTTTGTCGTCATTTTTGGGAAACTCAGTTACTAGGTAGTTTCACTTATTCATATGTAAACTACTGTGTATTTTGGCTTAGGTGCAAACATTATCATCTTGTAGGATACTCCTATTACATCCTGAAAAGAATGAAGCTTTTAGTGTGAATTTATTTATGGCAGCAACCAATGACCAAGTGTTGAGATATATTAGTTGTTTAGCTTAAATAAATTTTAAGTAGAGTGAGTCATAGCTGTAACATTGGGTGATTTAGAATACTGTTTGTTTAGCTTTACTTGCTTAGCAGGAGTAGCTGGATTTCCTGAAGCCTCGGGCCACAAGCTGTGGATTTCACAGAGATATGCTTTTGGTTGAAATACAGTTAATTTTCCTAGAAACCAGTACAGTGCTGTATTTTGTCTTTAGTATGAGAAGAATATTGATAATACACTGATAATTTAGTTGTAATATTTATCCTGAGCCTAACACTTTTTTAGTTCCCCATGTTCTGCCAGTGAACAGGTGCACAAGAAGTACAAAACAGAAGATTGGGATGCTACAACTAAGAACTCAATAAAATAAGGCAATAGCCTGCCTGTATGAAGACAGAGAAAGAGTCCAATAAGATATTAGAAGACCCAGACCAAAAATCACCATTTGACTAAAAAACTGCATTAAGAGCACATGAAGGGCAAGTGTGTAATCTTAAGCATGTAAATGCCTGAGGATTTCTTTGTTCGTGGTCCCTCTCCGAAGGCTTCCAGCTCAAGCTGCTGTGCTGCTCTATTAAATTCTTTATTTTTATAAATTCTGATGCCTGGGACTCTGTTGTAGGAAACCTATGGTTGAGCCTGAATGAGGAGGAAGTGCACCTGAGAGCATGTGTGTGTGAGTGAGGAAAGGGACACCCACTGGCTCACGGAGCTGCTTACTGTGAAGGGATTTTGGTCTCTGCAGTTATAAACTTGGGGGGTGTGTGGGTGTGGGTGTGACTCCTGAAACACTAATGCAACAACTTCTCCTTTCACAGAAGTTATCAGAACATGGCACCAAAGAGGAACAGAAAACATAAGACTGAAAAGAGATGAGTTCAGGTCATGTGATTATGCCCATACAGCTAAGGATCCCAGCTCATCAGATGTCCCAAAGCATAGTTACCCTTTTCTTAACAAGTAGCAGATGGTGTTAATGCTCTGTTAAACCATTTCAGCCACTCTCATCCCAACCTCTACTTAGATTAAATTCTATTTAATTGAATGGCTTCCCAAGGCACTGAGCTTCCCAGTCCAGTTGCAAAGAACTTCGGAGAGGGGCATATTATCACCTACGCTTAGTGACCAGCCATTGGAAATATCTCCTGGTTTCCATGAAGGATGCAGTGGAACTGAAATAAACTCAGGTTCCTGTTCCATTTGTAGAGCTTTAGTATTCTTAGATCTTCTCTTGAGACCAGAACTGCATTACAGGATAGGACAACATCACCCTGAACACTATTTGTGAAATTACGATCTGTTGGACAGATAAATTCTAAGACATCAAAATCATTGAATCATAGGATGGTTTGCATTAGAAGAGACCTGGAAGATCATAGAATCATAGACTCAGAATGGGCTGGGTTGGAAGGGACCATAAAGATCATCTAGTTCTAGACTAGAATGACACAATATTCCTCTGGGGCTAGTGTATCTCCCCAGTAATTTTTTTTTTTTTTAATAAAAAAGTCTTCTACCTCCTAATTTCAGCCCAGCATCTATGCAATGACTCCTGAGTCCTGCCATTACCTTTTTTTCAGATGAGACCCAGGCATCCAGTAACCAGGGCTTCTTAAACAATTTGTATAAACTTGTGTTACATCCAAAAGGCATGGGTGCATAACAACACCTGTGTCACCTAGACTACCATGTGACACTGCCCACCCAAATAGTATTAAGTGAACAGGACGAGAAGAACAAAATAATAATAATAACAACAATCCTTTTCCTCAAAAAAAGCTGGGCAGAAAACCGGTGTGTCCACCTGAGAAATCCTGCAGTGCAAAACAATTCACTTTTAGAGCACCAAGAAATTGTAGATTTTAATAAAGGACATAAGAAGTAAGTCCTACATAGTCGAAAGCCTGAACATTAGAGCAAGCCTGTTAGGAATGAAGAGTTTAACAATACCAACCACTGGCCAACAGAAGGTTAATAATCTGGAATCTAGATGCAGGTTATGAAATAACACAATGTATAGTCAAAGTAGAAATTCATGGGGTCCATGTGAAATGCCCCAGTCTGGAATATCCTGCCTTTGGAAATAAGCAAGAAAAGTAGGAAGTCTCTGTGTACATGCAGATATTTGTATACATAATGTATATATGCACATTTATATGCATATTTAAGTATATATAACAGAATTATCAATGAATTACTGAACTATGAGTTTTTTCAGAACAAGAAATTATCCATTAAGCAAAAATGCATGTTTGAACAGCAATGTTATGAACTACTGATTATTGGTGACAGTCTACTCATTATACAAACTACTTTTAAGTATAAAAGTGGCAGGTACACACCATTTCAAATTATTCATAATGTTTTAGGAAAGAAAACAAAAAAAAAATAATACAGATTGGCTTTAGACTTGGGTGTCTGGCATATCACTTGCAATCAGTCAAGTGACCTGGCCAGTTGCTCATGACAGCAAAGGCTGGCTCAGTTTATACTCCTCAGGGGGGCATAACTCTGATTTTTTGCCTCTGCAATGCAAGCACTGATACAGGAGCTCCCTTTGCCTTCAGTGGGTACCTCCAAAACTTCCAGTGTACCTTAAAATTGGAATCCCAGGTAGGACAGATTCACAGATTCACAGAATACTCTGAATTAGAAGGGACCCACGAGCATCACTGAGTCCAAGTCTTAAGTAAATGGTGGGGATTGAATCCACAGCCTTGGTGTTATTAGCACCACATTCTTTCCCAAATTATGAACTGACCAAGAGTGACTGACTGGCACAGATGAAGATGCCTAAAGCTGAATGGAGCCATCCCTCCACGTAGGGCTGTGCACTTGTAACCCAGGGAGGTGCAGAATTGCTGAGTTGTGCACAGAGGGCAGGTTCATCCACAGTGCTCTCACAAACCTGTGACACTGAATCCCAGCTATTGGGGTTGAATAAAGATGCATTTAAAGGGAACTATGAAATAAAAGTGGTGCAGTGTAGAAGAGGCACGTCACGGAGACTTTGTACAAAACACCCCAACAAAACACCAAATACTGCAATCCACTTTCTGGAGAAGAGTTTGTTCTTCCACAGCTCTAACCCTGGTTGGTTTGTATGAAGGATGGACTAGCAAGAGAACTAAGCAAGTGACTTGTGATTACCAATTTAGTTACAAAACATCTCTACGTCCTTCTGTCTGCAAAACCTGCAAGCAAAGAGGATTACCCCTGATAACTGACTTGAAATTAGTACCTGTGTGTTCACTGAATCATAGAGTAGTTTGAGTTGGAAGGGACCTTAAGGATCACCTAGTTCCAAGCCCACTGCCATGGACAGGGACACCTTTAAGTAGACCAGGCTGCTTCAAACCCCATGCAATCTGGCCTTTAATACTTCCTGGGATGGAGCATTCACAATTTTTCTCGGCATCCACAGCTTCTCTGCAGCTCAGAATTCAGTAGTGGGAGTGTGGAAGAGGGGCACTTCAGCAGAGGGAAGATTTAAAAGGTTCAAAGGGGCACAAGAGAAGGTAGGGGGAAATGCCACTGTGGCTCAGGAAAAGCTTTATCCCTCAGTGCATCCCCATCCAGCCAGCAGGGAGATCATAACACAATTGAATGAGCTTTGAAAACCATCAGCTAAGCATTGCCTTGCAGGCTGCTGTGATGGAGAAACAGCCCTTGAAGGAGATCACCCATAAGGAATTTACTGCAATGGTGGAATACTCCAGCCAAGACAGTGGAGCTAGGAGAGCTGCAGCCTCGTGGCCATGACAGCTTCCCCCCTAGCTCCTGCTTCCTCTTAGCCTTCTTCACAAGGAAAGGACTTGCTGACCCGGGGCATGGACATGCTCCTCTCCTGAGCCCAGGGTCACTCCCTGCAGGAACAGCCTGGTGCCCTGCTCTGGTGCCCAGCTCTCTCACTTGATGCAGGTGTCTGTCTCTGGAAAGCAGGAGCTGGGAACAGCATTGAAATCCCACTCCAGCAGGATATAGATTTTGTAATAATAAGCCCCCTTATCTCCCTCAGCTGCAGGCTAGCTCTTAAGAGCATTAGCAAAGGGTTAATCCACGTTATCTACTCAGCATTTTGAACACAAGCGTGGTCATTGTGCCACGGGGGTTTTCCTGAGCCTGTTCATTCCCTGGCATGCGTGACAAGACTTAGTGCTGCCGACGCTGTGCAGGAGGCCACGCTTTAGGCATGTGCTCGGTGCGCAGCTGCTCCGCATCGGGACACATCCAGCAGCAGGAGGGGCGCTGCCTTAGGCTCTTCCCACTGTCCTCCAGCCATCGGCAGAGGGACCAGCTCGTAAGCCCCAGCAGGAGAAGGTACACAGATTCCAGGCTCACTTCAGGGTCGCTCCTGTCCAGACAGATGTATTTCCCGAGCCCAGGGGGCTGCCTGCACTCCAGCTCCTGGCTGCCAGGAGATAATGGGGTTTGCACCCAGGGCATGCCCCAAGGCACGCTCCTCTGCCAGCAGTGTTACACTGTCACACAGTCCAGCCTGCCTCAAAACTTCTACCTTTATTGCACGAGCGAACAGCAAAATTCCTGAAGTCAGATAGAAAAAAAAAATTTAAAAAAAATAAAAAGAAATAAAAAGAAAAAAGAAAAAACTGAAAACTCCCAAGAAACCAGCAATATGCACTGAGACAGGGAGGAACACACCTCCTTGGTCTGCTCTCCAAGAGGGGCCAAGGAAAGGTCACCGTTTAAGAATGATTAACCAGAAAAGTG